GAAAGTTTACCCACTGAGAAGTTTTAGTAGTTGGTCCAATTAGTTAGCATTTTTTTTCTTTGTATTCTCAAAAGACATGTTCAATGCTATATTCTAAATCAAACTAATTTCCTTTCAAACGATAAGGAATAAGAAAAATCTCTGGGGGAAAAATGTCTTAATTTTATAATCTCCCCATAATTATCTAATTTTGTTTAAAAAAAAAGAGAAGCCGTTTATCTTCTGACTATTATTTTGTAAGAGTTCTATTGTAAAATATTGTTTACCTCAGTAGAAGGTTCACGAAGGGAGGAAAACAGTTACTCCTTTGGCAACTCTGACAAGATCCAAAGATGTATGCAATTACCCCATTTATTTAGAGAACATTTTAGGACTTATAATATTCCAGACACTGTATTAAATAGTGCAGAAAAAAGACCAGTAAACATAATTCCTGCCCTCAAAAAACTTTACAGCTTTATGGAGAAACATCAAAATAAGGTCTTCAAAAATCTCAAAACAAAAACTTTAATCTTTAAAAATGGAATATGCCTTATATATCATGCTGGGTGGGGAAAGGAGGTGAAAACAGTAAAGTTAAAAAAACTGTTTAATCAAAATGATTGTTATTTCGGCAAATCATGTTCAGATCTCCTGTTGCCAAGTACAGCATCTGATAGCAGTCTTGAAATACTGATACATTTCAAGATAGACCATTTTTTATTAAATCTACCATTTGAAAGGTCAAGGTGTTCTTGTGATATCTCCTATGCAAAGATCTTATTGTGCCCCAAAGTAGTTTCCAAGTTTTTTCATTTTAAGCCACATTTCTAAATCTTTCAATTTTCCACAGCATACCTGAGATGAAGACAAGCAAAGAGAGTGAGTTCCACAGCCATTGGTAAAAACTGGTGCTGAAGGATGAGGAATTATTTGTGGAGATGGTAGGAAGATTATACCTCAGAAGAGAGTACATGAAGATACAATAATTTAGTGAAATTAAAAGAGAATAACATTATTAGAAACAAACCTTAGCAAAATAATTTGGCTCTATGACAGGGCTTAAGTTAGAAGTCAAAGATTATGCCCTAGGAAAGCCCCAAGTGTGATCGTGATATAGAAGGGCACGAAGTGATACAGAAGTAAATAATGTCAGTTATAGTGATAGATCAGCTAGGGAATACTGGCCTAAAAACTAGATTTAAATTCTAATTTTTAGGTCAACATCCTTTAGCACTATCATCATCATGAAAAATCAGTCTTCAACAATGATCACTATATGTTGCAAAATTTACTGAGAGGTAAAAAACTTCATAATTTTAAAATATTAACCAACCTGGCCTACACCACCTAATAAGTTAATCACTTTTCCCCTCATCTTCATTACATACATAATGAGAAGACACTCTGTCCCTTCCCCACCTCTCTCTCTCTCTCTCCCTCTCTCTCTCACACACACACAAACTTAATTGAAGTGTGAACTCAAGTCTTTTAAATTACACGTATATAAATATTAAGGAACTTATTTCCCTCTTCCTTCAAGTACCACTTTTCCTCAAAATATGCTCCTGTATATCTCCCTATTGGAACTGCCACGTTGTTCCATACTGCTACATGCAAATCTAACAATGAAGAAAATTATTAAAATCATCCAGAAGGACGACAAAAAAGAATACTCATCATGATGGAAGTACAAAGTATAAGTCTGATTTGCAGTCAATATAAAAATATTTGCAAGGCGCCTGGGTAGCTCAGTTGGTTAAGCATCCAACTCTAGATCTCAGGGTCATAAATTCACACCCCATGTTAGGCTCCACGCTTGGCGTGAGCCTACTTTAAAAATAAATAACTAAAATGAGTATATCTGTATTACAAACCACATTAAAGCAGACTTTGTTTAGACAAATTATTATTTCATATCCTTATATCCCCAAAATCTGATAATGCCCCCAAACTGACCTTCTTGTGTAGAAAATGGAAAGTAACTTACTTTCTCACATCACTATAATGACATACCAAGTCATGTCATATGAGAATACAGTGATTTCTAAAATAAGAGTAATAATATAATACAATACATTGAAGTAGGGAGGGGAAAAAAGAGCAAAAATATTCAACTATAAAGTATAAAGGTCTACTCAAAAGTGAAATCTATGAAAAACATAAATGGATGAATCTATTATCTTTTCAGATTGATCTGGTTTACAAATGATTCAGTTTGCAATATCATTTACTTCCAAACCAGTAAGGGAAGACTGCTCTAAAGAGCTCCTTAGTTTTAAACAGGTGGGGTGGGAGCAGTGGCAGTTTTACCAGAACTGTTTTACTAGTTCTTCCCACTTATATTTAGAGGTAAGAAAAACAGAACATACTCAACAGTTAAAGTAACCCATAAGCACCAATTTCAAAAACCTTTATAGGCACTAACTGGGCTACCAATTGGCATAGCATGCCTGTGAATTATGCATGACAGAGTCATGTTAAAAAAAGTTTCATAATTACTCTACTTATCATGTCACCACAAAACAGGTTTAGGTTTTCAATAAAGATTCTTACTAATTTTCATCAAAGTACTTCACATAGCAATTTAAATATATAAATTGTTTAGAAATGGAAAAATAGGACTAAAGTCAATCACTGTTAGGTCTGAAAATGGCAGTTCTGATTTCTTAGTACTGTGCTTTATGCTTATGTTTCTCAAAGTGGAGCACTGTAAGTGTGGAGGATAATTAATGAAGGTTAATACTTACTGAGCACAGTATCACACAATGTGATGAATTCTTGGCATATATTGTCTAATTTAATCCTTAATAATCTTAGAAGTTAAGAACTATAATGATCCCTGTCTTAACTGAAGAGGCATAAATAATCTACCCAAGTGGCAGAGGGTAGATTTGAACCCAGAGCCTAGAACCAAGGTAGTGGGGAAGAGAGGTAAAGTGATTGAGAGAGATCACAGAATTAACTCCCAATGTAGACAGGCATACTGCTTACTGATGGCACATAATTCCTCCTCATACTCTGGAATAGTGGTTTTCATCCCTGGCTACACATTAGAGTCACCTGTGGGACTTGCTTAAAAAAAAAAAAATCCTTGCCTGGGGCCCTCACTCAGATACCTGGCGTTCAATTGACCTGGCCTGGGGAGAAGGCACCATCTTTTGTTTGTTTTTTTTTTAATCTCTCCAGGTAATTCTAAAGGGCAGTAAGACTGAAAACCACTAATAATTCTTCCCCACCCTGTAAACCTCTCTAAGTACCCAACTACAATCAAATTTACTAATCACCTATTTGGTTCTGAGCACTTCATCTATTCTATATTCTATTTACGCAACAAAGTGCTTATTTTTTCTTTTCCTTAAACAGAAGAAACATTACAACTATACTAGCATCTTTTTAAATAACAAAACTTTGCCAGTTTTTCTTTGACAAGAGGAAAGTAGGAGGAAAGGCAGCGAGACAGCATGAAAGAGATTGAAAAATCCCTTCTTTAAGCATCCATATACTCCTCAGGTTTAAAACAAGGTAAAAAGGTCCTAAGAGTCAAACTAAAAAATTACATAGCAGGCTATGAGACTAAAAAAGTTCTGTGATATATGTTAAAGAGAGATTTAATATCCATGGTATCTCTTAATTCTGCTGGAGATGACAGTTAAAACACTAAGTAACTGCTATTGTGGTGATAAATCCCACTGTTTTCCCATGGTGCTGTGACAGTGATTATGCAGTGTTTTTACCCTATAAGTCACCTGAACATAAACTAACAGGTGCTAAAGAAATCAAAGCATTACATAAGCATACCCAAACAACAATATGGCTGGTCATAACACGTAGTGAGAAATGCAAGGATTTTGCTGACAATCTCATAGGAGAAGTCTTACCATTTCTCTAAAAGTTATTCACTGCACATCCCACTCACCCTACATCAAAAGTATAATGGAAACTGTTCCAGACAGTCTCAGACTTGCTGGCCCTTTTATTTTACTAAAAAGGTGAGGTGTGGAGATACCTAACAAGGTATCTTGATTTAGGATTTGAACAGATCTAAAATGAAGAATATAAATACTCCAGTTGTACAAAGCTCTGGACTTCTCAGAGAAACATTACAAAACTTCCTGCTTCCGGACAGCTCATTATTTGGTTCAAGTCTTCACATTCCTTTATTAGTCATGACTCTTTACAAAGCTCTCATTCCTTATTGTCTGAATATCGGACTTTTAAATGTTGCAAATCAGATTTACAGGAACCCTTATCAAATGAAGAAACCATCCCAGAGTTCATGTCCAGAGTAGACTTAGATTACATAGAGCCCTCAGTAACCTGAGCAGTGTGTGTCCATCACGTAGATTTCTTTTTTAAAAAATTGGTTAACATACATTGTTCTGCATATCACAAATATAGCTTCATCAATACATTTTTATCATATACAATTACAGGAACCTCCATTACTTCCGCAGAAATTGACTCTGCAAGAAACTGGGAAGACCTCTGAGTGTGTGTGAAAGGCACAGGCACGACAGAGAACCACTCAATGCCAAATGTCACTGGGGTCTCATATGGCCCAGATCTGGCCACAGAGCCATATGTCAATAGGCTCAAAGGCACAGATGAGGAGAGAGAATCACAGGGTAACTGGGTAAGAAAACAAGGGGGAGGCACCTCATAAATATGTGTACTTCCACCCCGAAGCTGAAGGGGTGGCCCAAAGGGCAGACCCTAAAAAAAAACCTTCCCTCCTGGGATCCGTCACGTCGCCCAGGCCTAAAGGGCCGGCTAAAGGGGGTATGGGGTTGGGGGGGCGGTCGGGGGAGGAAGGGCAGTGTCTGTCCCCACTTCAGAGACCGAAACAAATTAAAGCAAGTTCTCACTTCCTGGTCGCCTACTCTTCCCGAAGGCCTCGACACAAGACGGACACCGGGGATAGAGGGCTCCCCAGGAGTACGGGGGGAGGGGGAAGGGAAGGGGGGCCCACCCCAGCCCTGCACCTTCCCGTCCTCGCCCTCCCCTCCTCCGGGCCTTACACGGTGACGTGACCGGAGCCGCGGACCACCACGGGGTCCGGTGAGTACTTGAGCAGCTGCTCCTCCAGGGCCCGCTCTTCGTCCTCCTCCTCCTCATAGATCTCGTCGAAATCCGCCATCCTGAGCCTCCAAGGCTCCCTGCCCAAAGGGGCCTGACTCCAGGGGCTGGAGCCGGGAAAAGGGCTGGCGAGGCGGCGGAGGCTGAGGTTGAGGGGAGTCGCTGCCGCGGGCTCAGAGGCCGCGGAGATCGATCTTGGCTGCCTCGGCTCGGGCTACAGAGGAGATGGGGTCCCGGCCGTCGCCGCCGCCGCCATTATCATCAGCAATAACAACAACACATTGTCAACATCCGCCCAAGGGCCGACACCTCCACCACCACCGCCGCCGCCGCCGCCGCCGCCGCCGCAGCAACTCAGGCAACCACAGCAACAGCCAGAGCCACCCGCAGCGGGAGCAGCCGGCTACGGCATCGCGAGACTTCCCGGGAGGAGTGCGGGCGGGTGCGTGGGCGCCGGTGTGCGCAGGCTGGCGGGCGGGAGCGCGCACGTGAGGCCTCGCGCGCTCACAGGGCGCCTTGCTTCCTTCCTCCGCCCCCCCTACCCCAGCCGCCGCCGACGCCTTGGGAGCGCGCTCCCGCCGGCGAGGTCCCGCCCTCTACGAAGTGGGTTGCGGTCCCGCAAGGGACGTCTCTGAGGCTCGGAGGCGTTGACTCCGACTCAGAGAATGGAGCTCGGCGTGTCCAGTGGAGCACTTAGTCACTCAAAGTAATCTCGAATCAAAACAACTAAAAATAAAAACACTGGTTGGAAAAGAGAATTTATAGTGCGTGTCGGCCTGTTTATCTAATAAATGAATCTCAGTTTTTGTCAGTTTTTTTAGTCTTGATAAGAACCAGAGTCTGTACTTTCCCAATTTAGGGAGCCCATCAGAAACACTGCAAATATTTTTGCCCACTTTAATACAGGAATTTTCAAAACATGTCCAAACTCAAACCTTGTGTCTTATCATCCCCTTAAATATAGTCCAATATATGAAGCCAATGATGCTATTTTTTTTTTAATAAGAAAACCCACTGTAGTCATGCCATGAAGCAAAACTGACATTCTCTGGATTCCAGAGATGCAGTTTCCTGCCCCAACTCCCTCATCAACCATAACCTGTTTTCTTCAGTTAGGACTTCAGGGAATCCCTTTTCCTTCATTACAGCTCCTCCCACCAAAGGGAAGAGTGGAGAAGGGAGGGGAGGGGAGGGGAGGAAGAGAATAATGGATTCTACTTACCTACCTAGACAACTAGTAAAGCCCTAAGGGTCACTTTGGGTACTTAGTTTCATAGTCAAGAAACTCCAGACATACAAAAAGTTCAGGGGCAGGAGTGAGCTCCAGAGAGTCCTGGATAATGATTACACACCGTGGAGGCAGGAGAAGATAGCCCCACTGGATCCAGTGCTGGTCAGACTATTCTCCAAGTACAATGTTCACATTCTGACATTTCCCTTTAGATGGGTCACTGTTGAACTTGAGAAAATGCAAACAAGAACAATAAAGTCAGCAAGAAATATCATTTTCTTACTGGAAATGGTTGAAGGAAATGAGTGTAGCTAGCCAAGAAAAGATAAAGGAAAAACACAGTAGTTGTATCAGACTTGCTGTATATCTTCCCAGAGGACATTTAACCATTCAACAAATATTTACTGAGCTCTAACTATGTGTCAGGCACTGTGTGTGTGTGTGTGTGTGTGTGTGTATGAGATACAGTCCCTCTAATCTAGTAGCTTATTTATCACTAAAGTAAGCAATTATAATTCTGTCAAGTGCTCCCAGAGGAGTTTACAGAGGGTACTAATGAAGCACACAGAAGGCAGCTTAGTTTGGAGGTTAGCAATGGGGTCTGAAGCGTGATTGCCTGCCTTTGAATCTCAACTCTGCCACTTACTATGTGACCCTGAAGAGGTCCTTACCCTCTCTGGTCCTCATGTGTAAAGTGAGGATAAAAGTACCTACCCCCACTGGTCTGCTCTGCAGATATATGAAATGCTCAGAAGAGGGCCTGGCACACAGAAACTATAGGGCAGCAATAAGGGATGTCTAAGGCCCCATCTCACTAATCAGCTCTATGAGGATGAGCATAGTTGTTTGCGTTATGTAATGCTTTACAGTTTATAAAGCACATACATAACAAATCATTTAATAATCCCCAAGAACCCAATGAGGTAACTAAGGAGGATGTAATTTCTTCCTTCACTTCAGAGATGCTATGTGACTTTCTCATGGCCAAATGGCTATTTAATAGTCAAACTCAGGGCTTCAACTTCAGTGCACTGGTAAGCCAAGCTCCTGAATTTCCTTCTTGGCAGGAACCAAGAGGCCGGTGGCTGCACTCTGTTGAAGGAGTGGCTGCAAATGGGGGGCGGGGGTGAGAAAAGGGAACGAGAGGAAGGAAGGTCAGTATGTTCCAGGCCTGGCCCACACCCAGCGTACCGTAACTGAGAATTCACCTTTCTGTGGAAACAGTGGCCAAGATAAGGGCCCGGTGCTCCAATGTATCTAAACCATCACATAGCTGACAACTTCCCAAAGGCAGAGGAAGTCACCCACAGCTCCTTCCATCTCAGCAGTTTCCCAAGTTCCTGCTTCAGAAAAGGAGCCCAATCAAGGTTCTCTGAATTGAGACTTATTGTTACTAGTACTAGCTCCAGAACATCATGAGTTAATTAGGCTTCTGAGGACTGTGAGAATGTCACCCTTTATCTTAACACTGGTTCTGTGTGGGAGAAATGTTCTTATTCTAAGATCTATTCAACAGGGAGGTTTTTGTGTCTCCTGCCTCGGTGTAAGGTGGGGGCTGTCTTATTTTTGTTCTTCCTATTTTGCTCTTCTTTTTCCTGCTCTGAAAAACCTGTCAGAGCTAGCAAAATGGTGTGGGACTTGGGAATGAGGCAGAGAAGATGAGAGAATTTGAGTGGAATATTTCCCTGATGGTGGTTGATATCATAATCCCAAATTCCACCCCCAACCCTCCAGGGTCCGGTTTCCTGTCAAACTCCTGCCTGAGTCTCTTCCTGGGGGCAAACTCCCCTTTCTCAGTATATTTTCCCTCAGTATCCAGGTGTTCCCCTGCTCTGTACTGTAGAGATGCCTCTCCGTTTGCGATCCCCTTTACATTCCTGCTTCACACACTTACCACATTTCCCTTCAGACTAAACGGCTCAAAACCAAACAAGATAATGCCTCATGAGGCAACAGATCTTCAGTTGATTTTAAGGCAGATATTCCTAGATTTGAAACTTCCAAGTTCTGTCACTACCTAGCTAAGTGGCTGTGGGCAGATTCAACTTTCTAAGCCTCCTTTTCTTCATCCTGAAACAGAATCTATGTCGTGAAATTATCAAAGACCAAATGAGGTAATGCTATGGACTGAATTGTGTCCCCCAACAAATTTATGTGTGGAAATACTAACCCCCATTATGATGATAGTATTAGGAGGTAGGGCCTTTGGAGGTAATTAGGTTTGGATGAGGTCATGAGGGTAGGTCATCAGGATGGGATTAGTGCTTTATGAAGAGACCAAAGAGCTTGCTCTCCCCACCACTCTCCACTTGGTGGGAGGATACAGAAAAGACTGCCACCTGCAAGACAGGAAGCTATCTCTCACCAGGAGCCAAATAAGCCAGCCTTTTGATCTTGGACTTCCAGTCTCCAGAGCGGTGAGAAATCAACTTCTGTTGTTCAAGCCACCCACTGTATGGTATTTTGTCATGACAGCCCAAGCTGACTCTGACAGCATGTAAACCCTCACTTTTTCACTCATTCCTTCATTAAGTATATATGCACTGAATTACTCCCATGTGCCATATTCTGTGCCAGGAACTAGGGCTCAGCAATAAGATATTAAACAAAACACAATCCCTGCCTTCATGTAGCATAAAGTCCATTGTGGAGGGCTGACCAGTAATTACAAAAAGGATTAACTATTAGAATTGTAGTCAGTCCTATGGAGAAGTACAGGCGACCATGAGAATAGTTAATGGTCTTAACCTCACTCTGAGAAATCAGGAACTCTTCTCTAGAGAACTGACATTTAAGATGATGAGTCAAGCAAAAGTATGAGGATAGGGAAATAGAAGGGAAGAGAAAGCTCCAGGCAGTGGGACCAGCATGTTTGTAGCAACAGTCTGGGCCACTATAAGAGACTACCATAGACTTATAAACAACAGAAATTTATTTCTGCACCCTCATGATCTAATCATCAACCGAAGTCCCCACCTCACAATACCATCACATTGAGAGTTAAGATTTCAACCTATAAATTTTGGGGAAACACAAACATTCAGTCTATAGCAATGTTTAAAGACTCTAAGGCAGAAAAGAGAATGACCTAAATCAGGTACAAACTAAAGCCAGTGTGGTTGGACCGTAGTAAAGAAGGCAGAGCCAAACTGAGATGGGGTCAAGGAGGTTGATAGAAACTTGAAGGCCTTGGTAAGGAGTCTGAAGTTCATCCTGAAAGTAAAGGAGATACACTGAGGATGTGAAGCCAGGCAGTGGGTCTAAGAAAGCCAGTGTGTTTTAAAATTCCCAAATGGGAGACTAGTAGTCCAACCTACCCAGAATGCATCCCCTACTTCTTTTGAAAACAGCACATCCCCAAGATGATTTGTGGTAAATCATACCTCCCCCACTCTCAGTACACGTGACTGGGTTAAGCCAACCATATCCCCAATTACAAGAGTGAGCTCATGGCCTAAAGCTAGCAAATCAGAGAGCATGGGATAACCTTGGGGCACAGTGATTGGTTTGAATGGACACATGATTCAGATAGAGCCATAGAGATTCAGTACCAAGACTTTTAATAGAACTATGGGGAAGGGGGGAAATCTCTTTTTCTATGAATCTGTTAGGAGCTATGTTGTTCTTGCAATGGTAGAAAATGCTTGGGAATGATGCCAACCCTGAGGAAAGCAGGGCCAAGGGATGAAGCAAACATGACTTTGTCTTGATGATCATGTTTGAGTCCCCTGAGTTCAGCCACACCTAAAGATCTGGGTTTGTAGGAGAGGATAATGGATTCAGTTTGCAGAATGTGAGACACCTAATGGAGATGCCCAGTAGAACATAGATAAATATATTAGAAAGACAGATGGAGAGATGTGTGCATGCATGAATGGATAGACAGATAATACAGAGAGCGGAAATGGGAGAAAAGGGGAGGAGGAGACTCAAATCAGAAGTCTTGGCAGGAAATAAATACATTGGGATCCATCAGCCAATAGATGGTAAAAGTAAGCATAGCAATGACCGAGATGGCAGGGCACCTGCGTGGCTCAGTCAGTTGAGCAACTGACTCTTGGTTTTGGCTCAGGTCCTGATCTCATGGGTCGTGGGATCGAGCCCCCAAGCTGGGCTCAGTATTCATTAGAGACTCTGCTTGAGATTCTCTCCTCTCCCTCTGCCCCTCCCCCCCTCTCTCTCTCTCTTTCTCTCAAATAAATAAAT